CACAAGCAACACAACATTGGACACAGTTATGAACTGCTCCTTCATGTTGCTGTAATGAGGCTGATGTGAAGAGCATCTTTATTCAGCTACTGAATGTTAGTTTGAATATATATGAGAATACATAATAGAGTATATTAGAACTTTAAGCCTTGTAAACATGTAATATCATTATCATGGCTGAACTTAAATAAAACACACTAATATATGAATCTTACTGATCTCCAGTCAGTAACAACAACGAATCACACAAACATCAAACAGATCAATCTCAACACCTGAATATGGATCAGTCACTCTAAACCTCTTCTGATCATGTAATGGTACCAGATGAACATCTTCATGTCGATTGAACATATAACTACAACCCCCCCCCCCCACTGATAAATATTTAAAAGAATTATGAATCTTACTCAGTTCAACTTTTACTACACGGTGCATTTTCCCCACACTGAGCTCTTCCAAAGAGGAGCTATTTCATTCGTTGGTTACTTCATTACTCTCATTCACATGACACAAAGTTGTTGATAGTAGCTGCTACTTGTTCTGGTTCCACCTCGAGGTTCTACGTGAGCTGATACTAGAAGGTGGAGTTAGAACAATGCAGACCACTGATTGGACCAAACTACGTACACTATGAAGTACACTACGGTGTACACTACACAGTATACTACAGCGTACACACCATATACTACACAGTACACTATGAAGTACACTACAGCGTACACTACACCGTATACTACACAGTACACTATGAAGTACACTACGGCGTACACTACACCGTATACTACACAGTACACTACCTACACTACGGCGTACACTACACCGTATACTACGCTATATTCTATATATTCTATGCCCTGCACTACGTACACTACTTGAGTGGAGCCGTACTATGCAGTGGAAATAAGGCAAAAGTGAATTTTGAAAGCATCAAGTGTGAGCAAGTAATGGTCAGGTCAATAGTATTGATCAAGAATTCTCAGCAGATATATTAATAAAAGGCTGTGTAATGCTTCTAAAGACAGTGTTTAGCTTGAGGACTTCAGCAGCCTCCTGGTCACAACTGAGAGGGTGTTAACGTTCTGAAGTGATTAATGATGTGCAGCTGAAGGTATTGCTCAGCTGGCTTTGTGCAATTATTGTAGCTGGGACCTAATGAAATCATCAACACAGATCATAAACTGTTGATGCATCACAGCGCTGCTATTACTGACTCAGTGTACATCTGCTGCATTCTTCACACGTGTATAAATACACAAGTGAAGTAGCGTGAGGGAGCAGCCTGTCTCGGTGTATCTGCGGTGAGCCTGAAGGCATTAGAGCAGGTGAGGAGAAAACCGGAGTGATAAATGATTCAGCAGCCAGGCATCTCCATAGCCTGACTCCCATTAATGAGGGCCGGCGTTCCCTCTGCTTCATCAAAGTGGCGACCTATGAAATATTAAAGTGAGCCTGACAGCAGCACAACACGGAGCAACACAGAGCGGGGCCTGACCTCCCGCAAGAAGAAAGGGAAGAAGGAAACAATAGGGGGGGAAAAGAGAGAGAGGCGGGGAAAAGCAGAAGAAGTAGCGCTGACTCAGGTGAGGATTCAGGGAATACTCACATCAGCGTCTCAGAAACTGAGGCAGCGAAACGCGCATCGACACAAGTGGCTGCGAAGAAAGGTCTGAAGACGGAGAAAAGGAGATGAGTCTGAACGATTTACGGATATCGATCAAGACGTTCACTTCATTTCATTTCATTTGATGTCCTTTTCAATTTAAATGAAAGTGGTTCCCTTCTGCCAATGTCCCTGAGCACTGAGCGCTTCATTTGTGTCGTTATATTAAAGATTAAAACCCTTTTCATCTAGCACCATCATCAGGTCAACGATTGAATGTGTCCAACTCTTTGCTTTATGAACCAGAACTAATACATTCCCATCAGCCTCAGCTGTACTTTGTCTCTAATGCTAATAAGTAACTGTTAGCATGCTAACACGCTAAACTGAGATGGCGCACACGCGAACCAGGTTTTGACGAGCGAGGAGAATGTGTGAAATAAAAAAAGATGCTATCTGTGGTTCTGCTGCATTCAGTCATCCCTTACTGTAACTGTCCATGGTGATGACACGTGTTGGTCTGTTATAAAGTCAAGTCTATGACTAGTCCAAGTCTCAAGAAGTCACTTTTATGAAGCTCAAGTCTCAAGTTTAGTGACTTAAACGCTGTCGCACAGTCAAAATCAAGCTGTAGACTACTGACAATATTTCAAATGTGAAAGAAATGAAGGAAACATCGTGTGTGAGGGGAACAAAGAAGATTGAAGATATCATAAAGCACTAAAGCATGCTGGTTAAACGTCTCAGACATCTGAGTGAAGGATGTTGGGGGTTTTGTGCTACCAGAACATATTTGTGGTCACAGTGTTTCTTCCTTTCCACTCCAGTTCCTTCCAATCTGTGGTTGTGTGGTTTCTGAAGTAGTACTCTAACTTCCTGTGAGATCTCTGTTACATACTGATAACATGTGATGGGAGGTGGCTTTGAATGAGGAGATAAGCAAGAAGTGGGCCGCTTTCTGTCTGCTCCTGCATGCTGTCTTTTGTTCCATCCATGAGATGTGAGTAGTGTTTGGTTTCCGTACGGCAGAGACACAACATCAGTGTGATTTAAAGATTAGACTTTACAGTGGAGACCCATAGGGACATCAGAATTACTGGGTTCTGTTCCAGATGTGAGAAAGTCATTAAGAATCACATTTATGATACTAAAAATCCAGCAACAATAGTGTTTATCTAACTGCCATAATTAGAATGAATGTCATCATTTAATATGCTTGTTTAAAAACATATCAGTCAACAAGATTCTCATTCTCAAATTCAAGGAACAGAGGAGGAACTGATTTGGCCGGATGCGAGCTCTGTATTCACATCTAAGATTTCCAGGGTTTCATCTCCAGACTTCAAGTGTTCTAAGGCAATTGACATTCACTCTAATGTATCCTCAGCTAAAAGACGAGAAGCTGCTGCTGAGTACGCAGCCACCCAAGCTGTGTTAAAGGTTATGTCTGAGCAAGACTGCCACCAAGAGAAGCTGCAAAGACTTGAAGTTGTAGACCAAGAAGCATCTGCCTTAACTCGCCGTCTTCAAGGAGAAAGGGAAGAGGCTGAACGTAGGATAGAAAAGGAGAAGACGTCTATTCAAGAAACAGCAAGAAGAGAACGCTGCGAGAAAAAAAGTCAGTAGAAGACTAGAAAAGAGACGTTGAGCTAAAAAGCTAAAAAGGCTGAAAGCAGCCCGAGCAAGGCTGTAAGTCTATGATGAAAGTGAAGTCCATCCAGACCAAAGGTTTATACCACATAAGTCTGAGCTGCCTACGGTTCAGCAAGCACTTAATCAGGTGAACCCTGCGTATCAGCACCCACAACCACTAAGAGTTGTGGCTCCAAGAAGTGTGCTTCACAACGACACGGGACTTCCTGGCTGAGGATATTTCAGTATATAGGCTGGCCATCCCAGAGCCTGCAGTCTTTAGGGGCGATCCACTCAAGTTTCAGCATTGAAAGTCGTCCTTTCAGACACTAATTGAGAGGAAAAATATTACATATGCAGAGAAAATCTTCTGCCTTCAGAAATAAGTGGGAGGAGCAGCCAAAGAGGCCTTAGAACAGACCTGGGCATTGTACGGCCCGCGGGCCATATCCGGCCCGCGGGCCAGAAGATTGGTTGGTTCTCTTTGGATCGACCTCCATATGTGAACAAACATTCTCCGTGATGAAGTTTAATTAATCCAGATCCAGATGCTCTCTCACTGACCATCATCTGTCAGCTGTCCTTCACATCTCACCTCACACATTCAACCTGACTTCAGTTCATCGTTCACTGAACTGACAATCAGAAAATGAGGTCATTGGACGACAAACAATAGTAATAAAAGTACTCATTTTGCAGAAACATGATCCCTGTCAGTGTTCTACTATTATATATGGATATGACAAATGTATATGTTGTTTGGATCATTATTCCTGCTGCAGATGTTTAAGGTGGAGCTTATTTTAACTCCTTTATACTCTGTTGTTCAGTTTGGGTAGTTAGGAAAGGTTTGACAAATGATATTGTGCAAAGTAACTAAAGCTGTTAGACAAATGTAGTGGAGTAAAAACTACAATATTCCCCTCTGTGATGTATGGAGTGGAAGTACAAAGTTGAATAAAATAGAAAGAAGTACCTTGTCTTTGTACATAAGTACAGACTTAAGCAAATATACTAGTTACATTCCACCACTGATCATAACGTTCACTCTTACCACTCACAGCTTATCAAAACCAAACAATTTACTTTTTATAAAGAGGTGGAATAATATCATGTGCCCCCCCCCCTGCCTTAGAAGGTGATTGATTCAGAAGATTCATATCACGCAGTATGGGACCTGCTCAATGAATAATATGGCGGGCCTTTTGTAACCCAACTGGTTAGGTACCTGATGGAACACAGAAGGTTCCCCAGCTTTAATTATTTTGTGACATTGCTAACAATGGAAGAATTGCGTGCAACCCGACTGTGGACGAATGTGTTCTTTCTTATTTCAATAATCACCAGCCTGGTTTTGAAATTACTACAAACGTAAGTCCGTGACACACATATTCTAAAACCCATCTCAGTCTACAGAGGCCTCTCGTTTCCAACGCATCCTCACCTGCTGCTCATACATCCAATCACATTGACAACATATTTCCAAACCACACAGCACATTCCCGCCTCTGAAAGTGTGTTTTAAGCCTGTTTTCAGAAGCCATCTGCCACGCCGTCAGCATTCTGCTCCTCTCTCTCCCCCTGGTTCTCCCTCTGACTTACAGCACAGATCTAATATTAGCACAGACTCAAACAAAGCAGGGCTCGATCACTCGGCTCCATAATTAGGAAAATAATGAGTCGGATCATGATGAATGATGAACAAATACACACGCCTCGTTGCACTGAAACCACTCGGATGTTCTTCCAGGACTAACAGGTCTACCTGGCCGCTGAGATCATGAATCCCTTCAGCATTGCACGGATCTGGTTGGCGTGTAGCTTCTTGTCCTCCGTCAAGGCTCTCGCCTCTCTCTGAGATAAGGGCCCTTCCTCTTTGTCCGGCCGTCGCCTCAGGATGAAGCTGTCATTAAGATAAAAGAGGAGCGCTTGTACATCGCTGAGCACCTCAACACTCTGCTCTCACAATGTGTCAAGTTCAAAGTTGCATTGTTACGGTGGGAAAGGGAAATAGTTTGGGTGGCAGGGTGTTGGACACAGGACAGGGAACAAGAACAGAGGTGTGTTCAAGCTGATATTTTAGTATTCTTAAAGTAGTAAAGAACCCACAGCCCTTGGATTCAGCAGCTTACGCTTCGTGACCGTTGTTCTCATCCCGTCTCTGGAGGCAACCGATCCCTAACCGAGTAGTTATGGTTGATCTGCAACCTCTGGGGTAAAGGTTTGGCTACATTTGGGCCGACAGGAAGGCTCTGACGAACAAAGAGCCGGATCACAAAACACTTGAATGATCTATTCTGTTCGCTAGGTATGAGGAGCAGTTGCATCGATCAGCTGGTATTCTACTCTTAGCAGGACGGAGAAACAACCTTCAGATCAGTTGTTGCCATCACTTTTCTTTTAGACCTTCAGGTACCACACCTGATTCTGTTTATTTCCATTCATCCATTCTATCTGTTGATGCAAACCCAGGGCCTATTAGAGACAGTGCCCAGCACAATGTCCAACCCTTCAATTTGATCTTCAATGTGATGTCAGTGTTTGAATCAACAACAAAGCATTGCAACTATATCAGTATTCAACTAGAAGAGCACTCAGAGAGCGCAGACCTCCGGAATAATGGGTTCTTCCTCGTCCACGCTCCACCTTCTTCCAAGTTTCATGAAAATCAGGCCAGTAGTTACTCTGTTATCCTGCGGGAAAACAGACCAACAAACCAAATCGAAAACATAACTTCCTTGGCGGATAAAAATATTTAAATGAATGTTGATGCTCAGTCCACTTTTGGTCCACAACCCAAGAGTTGGGAACCACTGCCTGGAAACATCTCCGCCAGCAGACATAAAGGATAATACTTTAGAGCTTGCCTGAATGTCTCGGTGTGATTCCAAAAGACTAAAGTGAAGAGGACAAACTGGTTTGATGAACCATGATCCAGATTAGTCAGTGCCTTGAGAGTGTGCTTCCTTTTCAGTCCTTGTCCTCACCAATCTGACTGCTTGGTGGTGTGAAAAAAGACGACTGAGTCATGTAAGACACGGGGTTAAGCTGAAGGCACATTAATTGTCTAAAAGAGGATTCAGCAGTCTACAGACCGGTCGGACCATCCAGTCTGCTCCGCTAATCCCAGACAGTGGAGCGACTCAGCCCCGGATTTATTCCAAGAGACCATCACTAAGTAGGTCTAATATCAGGGAGAGGACGGGCAGAGACCCATTTAAAGCACTTTCTATTCCTTTTACACCTCGAGCACACTCACTGAGTGGATATGTGCTGAACGATCATTTATCAAGCAAACGTGTCAAACATTGGTCCAGAGTGAGGTTTGATTCTTTCCTCTGTTTTATGTCATTCATTGAATTACTTTGAGATGTTGGGCAGACAAGGTAAAATGCTACTTGAACACATTGCCTGGCACTAAACGTGGACGCTGAACGTAAATCCCGAGGTTTGGAATGGTCCATTCTGAAAGTCCTATACTGGGCTGCTCATTTAGAAGCATGCAAAGTGTCACAAACATCCAAGGCGTCAGTGGAAGAAACGGAAAAGTCAGAACTTGATTGTATGATGTGTCACCAGACGCACATCTAAAAGAAAAAGTGTGTATGGCTGTTCTGGATGGACACACTCAAAGGCATTAAAGAGAGGACGGAGCGTTCAGATGGGAATAAAGGGGTCTCACCTTCAAGATACTCATGGTGAATATTTTCTGTTTATTATGAAAATGTGGCGGACCTAATTAACGGGAAAAACTGGAACCTCGACTCTTTTTTGGTACCAACCACAATGTGAACTAAGCATCGAGTACCAGAACTCACCAGTACTCATTCAATGTCTGATCAGAATCCCAATCTTCAATAATAATGTGTTTAAATTATAATTCAATTATAACTATAATGTTGCCATTTTTAGACTGTAAGGCAAAGTTGTTGTATGGCTGCTTGTACTTGGACATCATTTCATATTTGAGGACTTCTCAAAGGTATCCAGAAGAGATAGCGTTGGTCATTGTACCAGCACTAGTACCCAAAACATCAAACAAGATTCAGCCCTCTGCGCTGGATCCCTGTTTCAGTGATGTGCATTAAATACAACAGAATGAGTCCAGTTTTGCTGAAGATGCCCACTGATTGAGTCACACCTAACCGACTTTGAGTACACATGCATGGAAGTGAACATGCATTTTGTCATCCGCCTTTTTTAGTTCTATTTCTGTGCATGTAGGCTAAGTGGAAGATGAGAGCAAACAAAAAAAAAAGAAGCCCACGGCGAGTTGAGCCGAGCCATGCAGAGGCCAGAAGTAATCGCAGCACAAATGAATTTGCCAAACAGTCGTTGTGTTGCAGCCAAAGGCAGTTTTCCTCACAGGGGAGTAACACGGGATAATCCGTCTTCATACTGGAATAGTCTTTTAATGTGTTATGCATAATTAATACGTGTTTCCAAGGAAATGGATGTTTAACACACTCCTTCTATGAGCCGTGAATTTACAACTTCAACAACCTATTCGTGCTGAACTGACTGTGCTTTTATTTATGTTTTTTGACAATACCGTCAGCATAAATTTATCTTTTTTTTGTTGCATCCGTTTAGTTATTTGGAGTTCTGAGGTCAATATTCCTCAGTCTCCTCAGCATGAGGAGGAATTTAAAACGATTCTCATTGGAGTCGTTTTAACAACAACAACAACTGAGTTTCCATGAAGCTTCTGCTGCCACTGCTTGTCATTAGGGTCTGCAGCACAGCAACCAAAAGGACCACATGTACGCATATTTCCACTTACATAGAGTAAAATGCACAAAGATGAATAATGTGCAAAACATGTTTTGGAAAATGTGGGCTGTAACGTTTCTACCAGAACCAGGAAGCAGAGAACAGCGAGTCAAACCTGCTAATAAATGATGATTTCAGGGTTCTCCATTAAAAAAGCTTGCATTGTTAACGAGTCTTGTTTCCCAGAACAGTTGTCATTATTTATGGGTTCTACTCCTCACAGACTACAGTGTTTACTTCTAAGAAGATTCTACTTTTATGAATGTTTCTCCTTTCACAACACAAACATGTTGCCCTAATTGAAAGAAATTGGGCATTTTTCCTATAAGGTTTGACTTTGACCAAACCTGATGCATGATTTTAAAATGTTCTTGTTTCCATGTCTATGTATTTTTGCTGATTAGAGAATCAAGAATAAATGTTGTCATAGAGTTTAGTGTGACACAGGACATAATACAGAATAATTTAGTATAATGGTGTCCTTTTGTGTGAAAATTGTGTTAATATGTTGCTAATTCTAATAATATTACATAATTGATCATTCTTCAAATATTGCGATATAGCCTACAGTAGATGCTTTAGGAGTCGTGCTCGCTGAGCGTTTCCTCGCGTCAAGAGAAAGGCGTGCAGAACTTCATCGAGTTAACTATTCATTTAAGGAAGACTTGATTGTCGGCTAAATGGTATTTTACACAAATAAACTTGACAGACGGTGTGACTCATTCGGACGGATCCTTCGATTCGGCGTACAGATAAAAGACATTGCAGTGCTAGTTCCAATATTACAGCCGCTTTGCCTGCTGGATCACCTGTATATTCCGGTAGATTCCCCGGGCTGTGCAGCGGCGGGCAGCGTTTAGAAGTTGTGTTTTAATATGCACCACCGTTGCTTTTCACCTCATAGTATACACACCGTGTTCATCAGCGTGATTTATTTCTTAAATAAAACACAGTGTTTGTTTCACGCGCCGTGTGTTTACATTACGTGAAGAGAGACTAAATTGACACATTTTACAACGGAGTTTTGAATGGGCGAAGATGTATACCTCGCTATACAATTTTAATAAGAGCAAAAAAATAAATAAAATAAAAATATGAAGGCGACACATGAACGGGGACTTACGGTGAGCGTTCAGTCTAAGATCACGAGGAGTCTCTCTGGAGCAGGTGATGCTGCAGCGTCCGAGCTCCACGGCGCTCCGGGGGGGGCGCGCAACAGGGGTGAGTGTCGCTCCGCGGGGTGAGGGAGGGAAAACACGCACCACACGGAAACACTGGGCAATATCACCCAGGCACAGTCTCTCCTGGCTGCTCCAAAAGCTGCCTGGTCTCATTGGACGGGAGGGAAGAGGTGGGTGCAGGAGGAAAAACCAGGCCACATGGGCGCGTTACGCAGCAGCACGCGCACTGATTGGACACGCTGGCGACAGAGGACTGTTTTTATGCGCCATGTGTAACACGCTATGTGTGTAAGTCATAGACTGTATAGAAGGAGGTGGACGCTCCAGTGTTTATAATTATCTTTAGATAATAAATGTGAGAAATATGATCATTTAACAATAAATCAGTGTAAGAAACACATCTGAGGAGCTTTTATTCTGAAAATATTCGGGTTTTCAGGTGAATAGTGTAACACAGTGAAATAATAGATATCGCCATGAAACGTCCTCCAGTTGATTACTTACATTAGGCAATTATTTTTTTCTATTAGAAAATATATATATATTTTTAGATATGTGCTAATTTGCATACATTTATATAATATGAATCTGAATATTTGATAAAGTCAGGTTCAAAATTCTTGTTGAGTCAAGTTTTTTATTTCCAGAGGGGATTTTGGATATCTCTTTGTATCACTTCATGAATCCAAAATTCTGTCAACAGCCATAAAAATGATTTATTTATTTTTCCAAAATCTCAATGTTTTTAGAAATAGAAATGCTGTATAAATCAGGCTGTGAATGATATCTGAACAACCCCCTCTGTACAAACCTTCAGAATAAGACAAACATTTTATACTACTGGTTATGTTTAGGCAACAAAACGGCTTAGTTCCCACGGGACATGTTTATCTCCAACAACCGTCTTCTGGGTTTAACCGCTCCACCACCCAGACCTCATCTATGTGGACTCATTTAAATTCATTTGTGACACATCAACAGCAAACATCCACGACAAAATAAGTTTCCCTCGAAACATAATTCACAATGCAGATTTGTTGAGAACATCTTTATTGGGGACACGGCTGCTGCAGCAGTTTGTTCTTCCTCGTTATGTTACAGCCTCCTCATGTAGAGAGCTCAAGGGGTGACCTAGTTTCCCAACAGGAAGTTAGCATCACTGGTTCCCTGCACTGAAAGCCAATGTGTTTTTTTCCATTGGATTGTGGATTACTGTAGAGAATAAACTCTGTGGACAACAAACATTTACAAGATTTGTTCAGCAAGATAATCTTCACAAACACCACTTTATGATTTCTAAAGCGTGAATGCAACGTTAACCACAGACCTTATTTCAGACATTCAACCAACAAACACATTCAAAAAACACTTGAAACCTTGTAAAGTGTAAAAATGCTGACTCATTCCTGGTTTTAAGACTCGTTCATTAAGCTCTCTATTGAATTTTTCCATTGTGCATGTTTTAATTCCCCATTTAACCACGTTTGTGTTTATGATCAGGCAGAGATGAGGACTTGGACACACTGACTTGGATTTGCAAAAAATGACTTGTGAGCATCTCTGCTATCAGGCAGTAATGGCTTTGGGTCCCCAACCCATTCCATCTGGTTTAACCTTAGTACACGTCTGTGGATAAACCTGCACTTCATCCTTACTCTCAATTATATTACTTGTCGAATTACAAACAAAAACGCAACAAGAGTTGTAATTTCTATTGTTGTACTCGGAGTGTGTTACCCTGTGAAATCTGTGAACCAACATCTGGATTTATTGGCACTTATTAACATTCCTCCGTCTACTGGAAGCACAGTAGACATAAATATGGACTTTGAGGAAGCACATTAGAATTGAATAGCTGAGGCGTTCCACACAAACATCATTTAGGAGCGCTGAGGACTTTGCTTGTGTTACAGGATAACTAAAGAAGAGCTACACATGGCCTCTGATGGCACACTGTGACCTTTTGACCTCTTCTTTTTAGCCTTTTGTTTTGTGGTTTCGTTAAGAACAGCTGTGAGTTTTATTAGAATGAATATGAATGCCTCATACATCTTCATGAGCGCCACAGAAGTGTCAAAGCTCTGCTTTTTTCAAAATGTAATTGAATGTTTTAAACATCTGTGGTTATTATGTCTGGACGACATATTTCATCCTTTAGTGTCCCTGTTTTTATTTGTCGCTATCACATCAAGCATAAAGGAACAGCTTGCCATCATCCTTTATTTGTGTATGAACCTCAGGTTTCCAGAATACTGTACATGTACCATATCATATAAAAAACGCACCAGTCCCCCTTCAGCGTCTGTATGAGGCGCACTGGAATTTCGAGTAACTAAACTGTAGACCCCGACAAAGTCTGTAGAGGAGGTCTGGGTGGATGGATGTGTGTAACAAACACAGGACTTTCACAAAGGAGACCGCTGTTAGTGTCCTGTGTCATACCAGGAGTCAACAATGATTTATTTAGAGTTATGTATGTTTAAGTACTTCACTTACGTCACTCACATAATGTAGGCTGCAGTAACTGAAGTTGTGCCACAAGACTTTACTCCTGAGGTCAGCACAATGTGATCAATGTCTCTCTGCCAACAGCAGCTTTCATACTCGGCTTTCTTCATGTTCAGAGTTAGTGAAGGAAAATTTTCCATGTAGGTGTTGCAGTGCAACCAAATCCCACACTGATTATTTTTGGCGCAGCAGAGACATGGCACCAGTTGTGTGTTGCTTATGACCTCATGACAGCTACTGGAAATCATCCAATGTGAAGAAACTGACATCAGGCTTCACATGCGACTCTGGGTTAGAAAGTAAACGTTTTTTCTAACAACATGGGACTCAGTAGATATCGGTATAAACCCCTTTTCTGTGAATAAACACGAAGGTGGAGGCAGAATAACTCTGTGAACACGTTAGTTAGCTTTAACTAGCTTAGCAAGTTTTATGTTTACTTGTTTTTAACAAGAGGAAAATAGGAGTTTCTTTGAATATGTGAAAAAAGTTGCTCTTCCAGCATTGGCAACAGTTGCCAACATTGCAAAGCAACCCAAAAAAAGTCAGTCAAGAGAGTATTCCAATACCGCCGAAGCGTGTCAGAGTTGTGCTTGTGGCTATGGTTAGCATAAGGCTAAACTCTTAGCTACATTTTCTCTCTCTTTCTAAGAGTTTAGTCGATTATCAACATTTCATCTCCGTCCCAGCCCAGTTAGCTCTTCTCCAGTCAAAGAAGCTTTAGATTCAGTAGTTGATAAATCTATATGTCCCTTCAGACCAAAGTCACGCCACCAAAATGATCATTACGTACATAAACAACCACCATCGGTAAGGTGCGTACTCAGAACTGTCAAGAAAGAAGCTTGTGGAAGACTGGTGAGGAGCAATGAAACATCTTTGTTTTTGTCAAACCATTGGATTCATTGATTGCTGTCACAATGAAATGAGAACAAATCAAAAGAAAATTACCAACCCTGCCTTTTAGATGTGGTTGGGATTATCTACTTAAGATAATTCCATTATAAACTAAGTGAAAATAAAAACAACTACAGGTCCGTGGAGTAAGAAGAAGGTGTGACACAAATACCAAACACATGTCTTCCATGTTGCAGAGTGTTGCAATCATTTTGGCCCTGAACACATCCCTGATTGATCACAAAACATAAGTAGCTGCTGTATTGTCACATTTCCACTGAAGTTATGAACTAGTTAAAACAATAATGGTTCAACACGTGGGACCTGTATTTGTGTTTTCGCTCAGGTTAACTCTGTAAAAGGAGGCAGCAGACGAGAGGAAGCCCTGCAGCAACCGTTCCTGCTTAATCACCAACACACTCAGGATGATTTCTTACCACCAGGAATGTTCTATTATTCACCAAACATGTTGATCTGATAAATTGTTTGTTTTGTTCCCAGGTTGGCTAGCATCCCGCAGCAGACAGGAATGAGTCATGAATGAGAAATATGTGACTGAGCTGGAGGGGCCCGGAGCTGATCCAGAGTCAGAAGAAATGTACACACCGGAGAACAAACACACGAAGGTGCTCGGTCACTCCAGTCATGCTCCTCTTATACAGCTCTGGTCTTTTAACAGAGGGAAATATCATTCATACAAATGTACAGTGGCCCAGAGGGGCCATGCAGCACAACTTTGATCAAACGCAACACTGAGAACAACAAGCACCTGAAGGAAGAATGACTCCAACTCGACTCAGCAAATACTGCATTTACATTTCTGCTGCCAATAAAGACAGGAACAGAGAGGTATTTATTCAAGTCAGACATGTTGCCTTCAAAATAAAAGACTGAAAGCTGTGAGAATAAAGTGGATGGATTGTGATCTGGTGCGACATTTTCGACTTGAATGAATAATGTATTAATAATGTATGATCTCTCAAATAATAATACTCATAGATGAATTAATGTAACATAATGTGTCGTGTAGGAGAGCAGGCAGCAAGGGAAGAAGGAAGTCACCATTCAGAAAGTCCAAAAACAAATAGCAATAAAGTATAGAGAGACAATATTATATATATATTAACAAATTGTTGGTTGATAGGTTTTAGTCTTTTCATGAGTTTGGTGACGAGAACAAAAATGCAGGATAACAGTGAATAAATAATGGTTCTTTAGTGCTAACAGAGCTAACAGAGTTCACCAAGAGGGGACCTCTCGCCCTCTGTAGCCCGCTGCTCATCTCTGCTGCAGGACGAAGGCTCCAGGATGCATTACCCCAAACAACCAACTGTCAGAAATCAAGCTGCATTGTGGGTAATGTAGGCGCCAGGTTTTCACAAAGACAAATGTGTGGAATAAAAAAAGAAACTGTGTTCCTGGTTCTGCTGCATCGATTTGATCCCTTTTTAATGGCTAATGTTCCTGTAGTTGAGGGACTCTAATCTGTAATCCCAGAACACACAAAGCTGACACACTGACGAGTGATCTAGGATGTGAAGCGGTTCACCTGCAGCTGTCTTCTTTTATGATTTCTATCTTTTTTTCCCTTTTCATGTCATTCAAAGCACGTCTTTCATTCTTCGCCGGATGTTGTGAGTTTCCGCAGGAGTTGAAATGAAGACGTTTGTCTGTGGAGAGACTTGTTGCAGCGCGGCCCCTTAATCCTCTTCCTGCCTCTGCCTCTGGTGTTGACTTTAGGTCAGACTCTGCTGTCAGAGTATCAGCTGGTGATGAAGTCTGTCTCCAATGGTCCATTAGGCAGAGCAGGAATGTAGGACAGTCAAAATAAGAGTATGTCCGTACCTGTGTGAGGAGGTCCAACACATCCACTGCTCCATAACGTCCGTGTATGTAGAGAACAATGAGCTCTGATTACTCTGTGCTCTTATCCATTATTAATGAGCCCTAATGACAGCGCTGAAGCCTGTATTGATCAGGTTTTTCTTACCTCTAATCTAATCATAGCCGACTCTTCCAGAGGGCCAAGGGCTGAGCCTCCTTCTTTTCTTTGTCGCCGACATATCTTCTTCCATCTCGGTGCAGAGGAGCTCACAAACTGGAAAACTTCACTAAAAGTGACTGGAAATGTCTGATTTCATTGCAATATTATTGTGCTTTAATTTAGTACTGCACTCAAGTAGATGTTAGAGGTGTACTTTACTTGAATGTGCCCAAAACTTTCTAATTCTACTCCACCACGTAGACATTTTACTTCACCATATTTATTACCATCCAGCCATTTTAATATTTAATATACTTTAAGCACTTTTTCCAGATATTTACATAGTTTTCCAGAAGTAACATTTTCAATGCAGGACCTTTACTTGTGAGTATTGTTAGTGTGGCATTGATACTTTTACTCACAGTGATAAAGTATTTCCTCCACCACTAATAAAATAACTACAAAATAAGTCATAATTATGATGTTGCCTCTGAAATAAGAGATAATAGTTTGTGAATTAGTTCAAAGAAGTCTGTTTTTTTACTGAAATAGAATGTTAGAATCATGTGAACTCATTGAGATGATGAATTTTATTCTGAAGCGGCAGAAACGAGATTCTGTACAAACAGATATTGAAGTTTCTGAAAATATTCCACAACATGTTGATGTGCTGACTGATGATAGTCTGACAATATTTTCCATTCAGCGCTCGGCTCGGTGTTGCCCTGACAAGATGTTCATTTACATGGATCAGTGCAGTTGCTATGGTTATTGCTGATGAGTCACTCGCTGCTGCTGATCTTATTCTCAACACGGCACGATGAGAAGATACCCAAAATAGAAGAGAGGGGATGATTGTGGAGGTGTTGATGGAAACAAGGCAGATTTGTTTGCATCATTTGATTATCACATCTTTTTGACTCGGAGCCAAAACCAACGCACCTGGAGACGTTTCATCATATAGAAAACACACATGAGAGCTGATTGTTGAGTGTACTGAGATTTATTACAGAAGAGGAGAAGTGGCTAATAAAGCTGGGAGGATATCGGTTACAGTCAACACTTACAAACACCACCCTTTCTGCTCCTCTCCTTCTTGGTGGGGGAGCAGTCAGCAGCATCCTTCAGTCCGGGGTTGAGAGCGATCGGGTTCTTCCTCCTTCTAAACCCAAGGAGGTGCCGGGGTCGGGTTCCCCCTGACAGAAGTGTTGACTGGGATTTGTTGATTAACGTGTGTGGAAGCACTTCCCCCGCTGCTGTTAGCTGGGACCCTGCTCTTCTTCCTGCCTCATCCTCTTCCTCAGCTGCTCACCGATGTCAGACAGAGGGTTCATTTTGGCCGAGAGCGTCTTAACTGCGTCGCTAAACCGGCTCGTCTCCGTTTCCCTGCAATAAAGGGAAACACAGGAATGTCCAGATGTTGAAAGGGGAGTGTAACATATGTAAAATGATTAGTATGAATATTCGGATTATAGCATAGAAAGCTGCTTACATGAGTTTGCGTTTCTGTGACTGTTTCATCTGACTGAAGTCTGTTGGTTCGGGCCTCTTCACGGGCCTGAAGGGAGAAGACAGGACAAAGACGGGGACATGTTCACATCAGGACATCAAGAGGACATTCTGCAGCCCGATGCTGCATCGTGGATAACTCACCTGTACGACCTGTTTGGTACTAAATAGACTTTTATCTCCGTTGGTGCTGAGCAGGATGTGATGAGAAGGAGCCCTGCGCTCCGAGCGGTGAACCCTCAGACATTTACGAGCGTGTGAGTAACGGCCTGAGCGGGAGGATCCGCAGCAGAGCCGGACTCCGAAGAGAAGAGAGGTAATTAAAAGATTCCACCATACGAGCCTCACCCTGACATGATTTATGTTTTCTGTGGAACGACTGCCTTTAATTGGCTTCTAGATCAGATAGGGAGGGTGGTCTTTGTTGGCGTCTCTGCTTGCATTAACTCCATTATATATATATTCAGTATTTTGAATCCATGGCGGTTGTATGATATGTGAAGTCTATGGGCTGTGAGGGAAGTGGGGGCGGCCTGTTGTAATGGATTGAACCTGTTTGTACGTCAGGTTATCGCTCAGTTATTCAGAGGTTAACGTAATGTTGCCGTAGTGGTAGTATCGGTGTAGATCTGATCTGATGAACACATTACTGGACCGATACAGATGAAATGGTAGGATCATGGAGGGTCACCTTGGCACTTACACTCTGTTTTTCCGGCTCTTGCGGCGAGCGGCGGGGGCCGTGGCGGCGGGGGCGACCAGCTGAGAGAGCTCCGGCAGGGCGTCGGCCAGCGGCCTCATGTCCCCCACCACGGGGGTAGCCTGTCTCCTCGCCTCGGCCGCCTGCTGCTCCTTGGCCTGTTTGATGGAGCTGATCTCTGAGAGGAGGGAGGGAGGGGGGGACAGAGAGAGAGGGAGAGAGACAGACATGAGTTAGACATTGTTCAGTGTTCATACAGGTTTAGGTAAGTTTGAATAAACTTAACTTTACTAGTTCCACTGGTCCATTATATGTGTTTACCTCCTCTTCAATCATGTACTATCTATTTATTTAGAATTAGCTGGATAAGTGTACTGTTCATTTTATTGGTTCTGCTTGTTGTTTTTCTTGTTCTAGATAAATCTAAATAATAAAGACAATGTAGATAAATAAAGAAGGTGAGAACGTTTTAGCAGCTCTGTAAAGGCTGTACTTCAGGAGAACTGGACACCGCATTCAAAGATGGCGCCCCATTCATTCCTATGACAGTTGGGCCGGTACTGCTCTACTGCCCCTACCCCGAGTCTGTCATCTGAAACGGCTAATATTTCTCTCCATTTTCTTTTTTTAATTCCTGAAAACTGTCCGCTCTTGGGTTTCAGCCATTAGCACCTAATTATACGTCTGGACAGGATATGCGTCCTGTTACCCGGGAATTGATTAGCTCAGCAGCCGGCTACGGTTACACGCCTCAGCGCAATTACGGGAGATGATGGCGCTGGTGTTGGGTCGCCCAGTTATAATTACAGGGAGACCCAAAGATTCATCTTCAGACGAACAGATTTTGAACAGATGAGGATGAAAAGCTTTGATGGATAGCTTTGCTGGTGTTGACGATAAGGATGTGGGCCGACCTGAACTATTTGTTTCAGATTCACACACACCAAGTTGGATAAGATGTGCTGAACTGAAGTGCTAGAAGAACCATAATACCATAATAATAATACCATAAATACATAATGTCCAACAGGATGTGGATAAACTCACTGTTAAGCCACCTCTCCCTCCTCTCCTTCATCTTCTCTTTCTTTGACTTGACTTTCTTCTCTTCTGGGCCTGTGAAAACACACACACACACACACACACACACACACACACACACACACACACA